GTGTTCTTACTTATATAAAGGAAACAGGCTGAGGTGTTTGACGTTTAGATGGACCGCAAAGTGGAGAATGCTTTTAGCCGTGGAGCGCCCAGATTAACCTGTGATACAACTTCGTACCTAGGGTGATCAGAAGTCCCGAAAAATCCGGGACAGTCCTGAATTACGAGCAGTTGTCCTGACCCCTTTCCGTTTGTCCCGAAAATTGGACCTAACATAAGTTTTGGTGATAGCTAATTAAACATTAAACAGGCATGTGATTGGCAAAGGGCAAAAAAGCAGGAAAATATACTGAAATTTGTTCAGTTGAAGTTAATAGATTATTTTTAATGAATAAGAGACAGCAGCAAAGGTTGTCGCCTGTTTAAGATCTGGTGGCCTAATTGTTAAAGAAACAGTTATGTTATTCAGGAAACGCAGATCAAACAGTCAGATCAGTCTCAGTCTATTGATAAACTGTAGGAAAAACATTTCAACTCTGCGGGCGGGCATGTGCAAGAGACTAGACTGTGACAGTTTCACGGGGTCGCGCCAGTTACGCAGAAGCCATTGCCATGGTTACCTCGTGGACTGCTTGTTTGCCTGTCTGTTGATGAGGAGCGCAGAGCGACCCGCGGATCAAAGCCGTCTGAAAAGGCCTGATATAAACCCCGTAACAACCATTCACAATAAATTAATTTATAACGTGCCAAAACCTTTAACATAAGGATGAGTTAAAAAAACAAACATTCATACAGCAAAGTGTACATAGGCTACATGATTGATCAATCGACAACAAAGTCAAAGTAAACATCAGACATATAACAAGCAATAATCAAAACATACCCAGTTTATCCGATCCTTATTGTCAACTCAGTGTTGGGCAAGTTACTCAGAAATAATGTGTCCACCAAAGCGTTTTTTTCTTGACGCCAGCGTCTTTTTTCAATTCATTCCAATGGGAGCGCTTCGTTTTCACTAGATGGTAAAAACGGCAGCAGCGAGACGAGGCGCTGAGTGTTTTTTTCCGGTAAACCAGAGATGAAAAAATGTTCAACTTTGGGAAAAACGCTGCGCTCGTCACTGTCACTTTTACCCAGCTATCCAATCGCAGTATAGGAGGAACTCAAAAAACCCCACTGTGCCTCCAAAACGCACCCTAGCGCTCCCAGCGAGGCATTTTCATAACAGCAGGTGGCGTTTTCAGCTGGCAAAAAACGCTTTGGTGGACACAGGCCCTAAGTATAAATGCAGAATTGCTCGTGGTTGAAAGTTTTTTGCTGGTGGCACAAAGTTTACAACGGATGACAATGTTCTTTGCATCTTAGACTGTGACACAATGGCAATAAGCTGTCGAAAATACCTCTCTCTCCCCCTGTTTCTATTAGTAGTATTACTGCCCAACACGCTACCACTGATGCACGAGAGTGACTGTGGTACACACTGTAGGTGTGGAATGGGCAGCTGAACGCAAAGATCCGTCCTTGTTGATACTTGGAAAGAAAGAAAACTTTACACACGTCAGCCTGTAAATGTCCTCAAATCCTCTCAAGCAGGGGTGTAGAAACTATTATGAGCTGAGAATGGTGTAGGCTATATGATGTAGGTACATGTGGTCATAACTGGTGTGTAAGTAGGTTAAACAGAGAGTGAATCGTGTTACTGTAGCCATACAATTTATAGCTGGACAACATATTTCAGAATGCGGCACTAACTTGCAACGTCCTTGTAGGAATGCCCGCGAATTGTTTGGCACAGATATCTACAGTAACATTACATCAAGCTAAAAGTTAGCTAGTTTAACGTTAACTCCACACACATGGACATTTAAATTGAGGTATGGACGTTACAAATAATCCAACAAAATTACTCTTCCACATAGACAGTGTTAACGTTACCTCTTGCCGACATGGTCTAGTCTGACATTAACTAGTAGTAACGTTAGTTACCTTGTCAATTTCATGGCACATATAAGCTAGCCATCAACTCGGTCATGTTAGCACTTCGGAATTCTGTTTAAAGACAAAACCAGCCAGCTGAAGTTTATGCTGAACATCAATATCAAGTTATTCTACAACATTACCTCTGTTAAAATACAAAACGGTTTAATAAGTAGGAGAGACTTACCACAGCGACTGAAAGACCTTGACGTCACCATTGGATCTAGGCTCAGCGCCAACAAAACGTAGTTAAACATATATTTTTTGCATAGTTTCAAGTTCCTTGGAATCAGCATAACAGAAAACCTGACATGGTCATCTCACTTCTCCACGCTCAAAAACGACTGTATTTCTTGAGGAAGCTTAAGAAGGCCAAATTCCCACGCCAAGTTCTTGTCAGCTGGCTGAAAACATCCCTAACTGGCATAGGATGTGCACGGCCCAGGACCGGAGGGCTCTGCGGCAGGTGATTTAAACTGCTCAGAAGATCAGTGGTACCTGATTGGTACCCATCTCATGAGCATCAGTGATATCGGTGAGGTGAGGTGCCTACGCAGAGCCAAAAGGATACTAACAGACAGTAGGCCTACTCACCCCAGCCACAGTCTGTTCACCCTGCTGCCTTCTGGGAAGACATATAGAAGTTTCAACTGTCGCACTACCAGAACAGCTTTTCTCCCCAAGTTATCAGACTTTTAAGCTCAAATTCATCCTCAGCACTGCTCCACTGAATATAATTTATTTCTGTTTACCATTTTTATAATTGCTAGTATATTAATGTATATTGTCTGCTATGTATCAGAAGTCAGCTTCATGTCAAGTCAGCTTTATTTATATAGCATATGTGTATCCAAATACACAACACCAATACACATCAATAAAAGGAATATGGTCGGTAAAAATAAAATTCAAAGAAGCTAAAAGGAAATAAATAAGAACAACGTCAGATTAAAATGGTGAGAGAGAACAATTGAAAATAAGAGACGGAATCAGGTAAAAGCCAGAGAAGAAAAGTAGGTCTTTAAATTAGAGTTGAAGTTCTCAATGGTGGGGCAGGACGTGATGTTAGATTGAAGACTATTCCAAAGCCTGGGGACAGCAACAGAAAAGGTCCGGTCACCTTTAGTTGTAAGGCGTGAGAAGGGTACTAAGAGGAGTTGTTGTGAAGATGACCTGAGCAACCTAGATGCAGAATAAGGAATTAGCATATCAGTAATGTAATCATAGTTTTCATTTGACGTTACATTCCAAGGAAAACGCTCCCTTGGAGTGCAAAAACAGATGTTATTTTCCGCTGCCTGCCGTGTATATGTAGCCTATATAGATAACTGTATATATTGTATTGTTGTATATATTTATACAGATATGTTACCATATTTTAATATACAATTAATTATATGTTGAGTGTGTAGCATGAAGGGACTAAAATTTCCTTGTACCTTGAATTAATAAAAACATTATTTAGATTTTTTTTAAAGATTCTTTTTATAACTAAATTGAAATCAATTTACATTTTTAATTTGTTTTGGGTTTTTTAAAACAAAATTCTGTTTTATTTTTAAATAATTTAAAATCCTCCATTCAACTGGACACCATCCAACAAAGGCATAAAATGTCACACCTGACATTATATTATGTATAGAATATTATGTTTTTTATGTCATGTTATGCTATTTATTTAAGCTCAATTATTGAAAAGTAACAACAAATATATTTTAGGAACAACTAGAGAAAAAATACTCACAGTGGTATTTATAACTGTAGTTACATGTACGCTGAAACCTAGTAGCAATGTGGGTAATTAATGGAAAACATTCACTGCTGATAAATGAACATCCTTATCCTTATCTAATTTTATAGTGACTCATCTCAGTCATAACATCTCAACATCCAAAATGTAACAGATTACAAAACTTCAGTTATAACTGATGTCTTTACACTATGCGACTTCAATACTTATTCTTATTTTGTGTGAATTTTATTCACTGTACACTGTATGCAACATTTGTAGACATCCTCAATAAACAGATGCACCAATCATGCTAGCTGTGTTACTGTTTTTGGTTTTTATTTGTGCCTGCTTACAATGACGACATACCATGGGACAGTGAACTTTTGATAACGCTAGCCTTTAATACGAAGCTTCCACTGGTGTGGAAACATGCATAACACTTTGTACTAATGAAGATGGGAGTTTAAGTTTAAAAATGTTTCCAATATGTAATATTACTGGCAGAAATTTACAATATTTATAGTTTTTAATGTCATTAGTTTGAATTACTTATATCATACTTTTCTGGATCCCTTTAATGTTTATCTTGTGGAAACAAAAACAGATTGATCAAGTAAGATGGCAATTTTAATTATGGTCTTTATGCTAATGCTATGACTCCCTGTTAGTGTATTAGTGTAATATTGTGTTGTTTTTCTTTAAATCGCTGGCTTCCGTCAACCACAATGTACACAAATGCGTTGTACAAAATGGAACAGAACAGGAAATGCATTTCCTACTGTATTTTTTGAATTCAGATGATCATATAGTTGCAGCTGTAGTTTGGGGTGTTGTTGAATTGTATTGTGTAGAGGTGTTTCTGATATTTTGTCCACCCCATTTATATCAATGGGAGTAGCCTAAATATTATGGACACTTGTCATGATAGCACACTAATAAACTGGCATCTGAGTGTCACAAATATGATGCATTGCTAAACTACCTGATATTATATACAATTACATAGGAGTATTTTGATTGTAGGCCTATTGCTTCTTGCTGCCACCATAAAGCACTGTGGATATGCCTACAGACTAGTGCCCTACAAACCTTTGTATTAAATGTTTTCTCGCATCTTTCTCCCCAGTATACTGACATGATCTAGCTAGATTGTGTTGAACTTCCACTGTGCGAAGCATAGCCAGGACATTAAAAGTCAAGAGAGCGATCACAGAAAGATCACCATGGGAGAAATTATTTGGTCTGAAGGGCTCAAACAAAAAGGGACCTTGTTGCATAAGAGTTGGAACTAACAGAAAAGTAGGAAGGAACAAAACTACAGATTCAGCAGTCTGAGGTTTCTATGAACAGGCACAAACAATCAGCTTACTTTATTGAAAAGTGGGTTTGCAGCCAGGATTTTCATGAGTATATCTCCACCACAAACATTAGGATCATAAAGTCATAAATCAATGAGTGTTTCTTTGTGTGATCACATTTGAGCACTTCTACATTCACCCAGCAGTCACTGATGTGTACGTTTTCATTTGGGGTTCCACCTTCACTTGCCTTGTTGTAGATTACATCAGTGACTTTGTCAAATCTGAATATAATAATAAAGTAATGGACTCTAATAAGGCACCATTGACTGTGCCATATTGCTGCAGTGTGTTTAAATTAGACAGAAACAAGTCTGCAGCCATGCTAGAAGCTCTGTGAGGCTGTACTGTACTTAGGCACAGTGGTGCTTTAATCTAAATGCTAAAATGTTTAGATGGTATAATGTAATTCATCATCTTAGTTTAGTGTGTACACTAAACACAAAGCACAGCTGTCATTCATTTTGAAGCTATTTGGTCATAAACCAAAGTATTGTACAAATTAAAATTTAGACCTGATGATGGAGCTAAATAAAAAGTACAAGGATCACCTAAGTTATTACAAAATTTCATGGCAATCCATCCAGTAGTTGTTGAGACACTTTACTCAAATCCACAAATGTGAATCTCATGGTAGTGCTACAGGAAAAGTCAGGGGATCACCAAAGAAATTACGATACATTATCTGGGAACCATGGAAATCTGTACAAGATTTCATGGAAATTGATCAAAAAGTTGTTTCGATATTTTAATTTGGGACCAAAATTGTGGACTGACTCTGCCATCCCCAGAGCCATGCTGCTAGCATGGCTGAAAATGATAAACAAGTGAAAATCTGTGCAGAAAATGATATACAGTGAAAACAAAGCTATTTCTGCAGATGAATCTAATTTGTATTTCACATCATAAATGATGACACAGAACACCTTGAAGTGAATAAAAGTTACATAAAGTTAGCATTTAATCTTTAATATAACAACTGCTTCAGGTTCATTATTTATCTACACATCACCAGACTAAAATAACCATCCTTTCATGTCTCAAATGAAAAAGGAGTATTAAAAATGGAGGCAAAAATATGACAACACCTGAAAGCATGGCGGCGGGAGGACTTGGTTTGAGACACATGACCTCATGCAGTGGACTCTGGAAAACAACAATCCAGCTGTTCATTTCCATTTCCTGATAAATTCAGAACAGCTGTGACTGTAGCAATACAAACATAAAAGAAATAGCCTCATATTTTTATATTGTCTTTGATAAATATACGTTTGATAAATAAACCATCTACAATCATATGTACAGACAAAATGGAGTTGAGACACATCTAGTCTATATTAAATATAAAGTACAACATTAAACAGATCAGACTATTCTAATACAATAAGATTATCATCAACAGTCATTGCAATATTTACATTACATTACAGTTGATTGTATGATTGTGCTTGATAATAACACTACACAGCTACACGCTATACAATTCCCATTTCCTGTTGAGAATAACATAGAGCGCAATGAGAATGAGTGCAAGTAGATGAACTCTAACTAAATGTTGTAAAATGGTTTGATTTTTGTAAACAGAGTCAGAATAGAGAGAGCATATGAGACAAACCCTTAAACATGCACATGACATGTTTATGGATTACAGATACTGTGTTCTGGATCTGGATCTGATCGCAGCATTTCAAATGTTCCTTTATCAGCTTCTGAATGAACACACAAATAAATACACATGTCCACAATATATACAACCAAACACGCAGACAGATGATGACACAAACTGCAGTCAGCCGTGCAGGTTAACTGATCATCGACGCCTACTGTACAGTGCTACATGCAACTTAGAGCCCTAGAAGATGGCAAAACACATTCAACATATTTATACTCATTAATTTTATATTGCCATGTTAACACATCCTAAAATAAATTATCTTTGATGTGATGAACGGCATCGAAATGTACCCTGCGTAAAAATGTACGACATTCCCTTAAATTAATGGATTGAAGTCTCTTCTGTACTCTTGCCAGGAAATACTTATTTATTATAAATTTCTACAGTATACAGTGATTGTCATTGAAAAGAAATTATGCAGTATGTAGCACCTGGTTGACATGGAAAAATGTTTTTTAAATATTTGTACATGATATGATTTGTCTACATTGGATTTTGTTGCTGTGTATCCATCCATCTCTTTTTCACGTTTAAAGTGCTTGTTTAAGCTCATTTACTGTATGTTCTTCAAAATACTATTTGTTGTTTTGAAGCAAATGTTTAGTATCCAAGGACGCTTCGCAACATGCAGACTGGAGAGGCCGGGAGATCGAACCGCTGAGGTTCCAATAAGTGTGGACCCGCTGTATCCCCTGAGCCACAGTTGCTCAAACTTTACACTTTGGTTTGTGAACAGATTAAACAAAATTAAATACAACGTGTTCATTTGTGAGCTTTAGAGTTTCTGTAGGAGGATTATGTTATCATTTGATGCTGCCAGACTAGCCATTTTACCTTGTTTCCAGTTTTTGTGGTAAGCTAAACTAATTAAATGTTTGAGAGTGGTATCAATCTTCTCATCTCTAACTCTCTGCCAGAAAGTGAATAAGCTTATTTCCCAAAAGTCAAATTATTCTCGATTCAAGTCAACACACTCAGGATTTTGCTGCTATAGCCTTACTTGGTCTGGTATCACCAGTGGCTCATAATGGATAATTGATGTCTGTTTTAATGACTCTCCTGCTTGTGTTTCTTTTATACTACATACTAGTATTTACCATTATCCTAGAAATGTCCCTTAACCGGAACCTTTTTTACAGCAGACTTTTTGACTTGTCATTGAAAACCTCAAGTGTTACTAATAGCATTAATAATAGCTCTGTTCAAGTGTCCCAGTCAGCCATGACTGTGACACAGTGAGTAAGCATGTGCAATACCAGGAGCCTGAAGCAAAAACACCTCTGTTTTTTTTTTTTTTACTGTGACATGTCACAATGTCTGCTGTTACAAAGGTCTATGACTGCTGTTCAGCAAATGTTACGCTTTAATGCCAGATTTTTTTCAACCTGCCCTGCTATTTCCATACACGAAAATGACCTTTTTGTTATTGATTTGCTTGGCTCGTAAATCCTTCCGGGCACTGTCACCCTTGCAAGATGAGGTAGTACAATATATTGGCAAAATGCTCAGGTTTTTAACAAGGGAACTGTCCTAAGATGAAGCTGGAGGACATTAATATAAAAATGGACAGTTGGTGGGAATAGAGGGGGAAAGTCAAGAACAAAAGAGTGATGAAAGCAAACCTCAATGGACAAAAGTGAAAAGATTGTGTAGTGCTGACAGATCCAAATACCTAAAAAAAAAACACAAATAAATTACCTAAAATAATAAATAACATTTATTATTGTGAGTAAAAATGAATTTGTCACATCAATTATTATACTAAAAAATCCTTCACAATAACAGATGACAAAGCCACCACATAGCTGGGAATTCTAATGCTGATTTATTGAACCTTAGCTTAGTTCATGCCCCCATTTACTGTATCTGTTACTATGTCTTGAAAAGCTGTTTACAGATGACCATGCAGTTATTCTGACATTTTTTATTTATCAAAACATGTTGATCAATGGTTTCTGCTGCCCTGCTGTCTGTGTAGCTTCTCCTGTAGCTACTTTGTAGCTCACAAACCTTAAACCGGCACAGTTCAGACACTTTCCCTGTTGCTTTTGCAGTCTGGCAAACTGCAATGAACAAAGTCCACAAAACTGCTCAGCTACAAGATAGTGTGGCGGCTCCCTCTTCGCGGCTGCAGAAGCCTAGTGAAAGTTACTGACGTGACACTTGACATCGTCTAAGCTCAGGACCGTGCCCTGGTCGTTGTTGTGTGTGTGCTTGTGCTTCTTATCAGAGCAGCCACACAGCTTGTACTTTATCACCTGAGAGGATAAAAAGCAGAGCAGGTCACCACAACAACCTGCCATTTTGGCTCAACAAGGATAGGAAAAGACAGGTGACATACAAGGTCAAGTTTTCACAAAGTTTTAAAGGTTTCTATTTATAAGGACTTTTCATGTTTATTTATTTATTTATATTTATATTTATTAACTTAACTCTTTAATTAAAGATTCAGTTATATTTTCTGTACTTTCTATTTCCCAACATGAAGGTCCGCTGCCAGGAATAAAACTGTGTTGGGAAAATACTTTATCCTTTGAAGAATCAGAATCAGAATTAGCTTTATTGGCTAGTTATGTGTACACATACAAGGAATCAGACTACGGTTTTAAGTTGCTGTCAAAGTACTTACACACAGAACATTTTACAGGCGATAGAAATAGATACACAGCTAAAAACAAGGACAGCAAAGCTAAAAACGGTAAAACTATTATTATGATATTAATTATTATGAATTATTATGTACATATAAGTAGGTGAAACATCTAGTCAAATTGAAATATATTTAGTATAAAACGAGTATAAAAAAATATAGATGACGTGACATCATTGTCCTTGATGGTAGCTACAGCTCTGTATCAAGTGAATATTGACATGTAGTAGGATTATTTTTCTGTTGAATCAACTTTCCTGAAGAAGTCTCACCTCATAAAGGTAGTCAAATATCTCCAAAATGGTGAGTATGCTTGCCCCGATAAAAAGTCCCATTTGACCACCAATATCACCTGGAATAAGACAACACAAGCTTATGAAAAACCTATTTCATTACCCAGGCTTGAAAGATAGATAGCCCATATAAAGTTGAAAAATGGAACTCAAAAAAGCTGTACCTAAAAGTCCAGCCACTTCATAAGCCTTCTTCTGTTCAATAGTTTCGTAGTTGAGAGCCTCAAAAAATATGTCCAAAACCAGGAGATTCTCCCTGTGAAGAAAAGCAAGTGAGTCAAAACATTGATATAACATTTTAGGTTACACTTAACACTGTTTAGCATTAAAAAGTACAGTATATAAACATTTTATTAATGGTTTATAACACTATAATGTTGTTGTTAACAGATATAACTCCTCCTGATGGCACCCATAAGTGGAGGCTGCTGGATGAACAGATAATGGATAGTAAAACACAGTTGTAATAAAAATTGTCTTCATATGTATATAAAATATATTTTATATCTTATATCTCTACATTATAGTGTTACCCCTTTGATTTGAATGTTTTATTACAAACAGGAAGTGATGTCATATCTTAGGTTTGGAATGGCCGATCGACACCAAACTTCAGGACCTTATGTTGTACGACTTCCCGAAGGGCTGTATGGAATGTGGTGTCAATCGGCCTCTAGGTAGTGGTATTATTGGTATATCAAATAAAACCGCAAGTCCTTTTAATTTCATACTCGAGCCACGGCGGGGCACCTGGGTCGACTCGCGCTCTCCGCGGAGTGAGGTGGCGGCTGGCGCCAGGGAGGCTGGGACCCCGCTTACAACTACTTGCAGTTCTAGTTATTATTATTATTGTTGTTGTTTTCTTGTTGGTAATATCTCTGTATAGTTAAGTTAGGTTTATGAATTAAAGATGTGGTTATGTACGTGCCATTTTTTATTTTATATATGTTTTTCTTCTATAAAAAACATCTTACATAAATATAATTAAATTGCAGACAAAGCAATGTAAGCAGTTGGGCTTAAGTTGTGCACTCTTGTCTTATGTATGTGTGTATTTATACAGTATATATAAAATAAATAATTAAGTGTATTGTGTGTAGTTGATACTTGCTTAATATACTGCTCAGATTTGTTGTATTTCTTTGCAAGATATTTAGCAGAGGCCTTGCTGGGGATCTTGACGAAGGACAGCTCTTTGCTGTATCTGGTCATGTTACATGGCGTCTCACACACACAGAAATCGTTGTCTCTCTCCACCAGGAAATCTGGAGAGAAGAAAACCAGAGCTCAGCTTGACCTTTCAAACAGATCAGTGGGCTGTAGTTTAAAAACATCATGGGATGATGTGTGTGCGTGCTTTTTAAAAAAATCTGTTCCTTAAAGAGTCAGACCAGACGTGTACAAAGCCATTTCCTTACCAAGGGCTGGGTCAGCACATTCTTTGTACAGCTCGGGGGTGCAGTAGGGTGCGTCGCCTGCAGCCAAAGCAACACACATTTACGTTAATTAAATTTCCTCTGCTTTTCTTCTTTGCCTACGGTAATTTGCCATTGCATCATCATTGATGCATTGATGTAATTCTGACACCACATACAGTAAGAGCAGTTTTCCTACCAGGCATGTGCACCATGCGGCAGTTGCAGTTGTCCACCAGGTAGCGTGTTTCACAGTCAATGCGACAGGCTGTGATGCTGTAACTATCAAAGAAGTCTGAATCCATGGCTGTCACCTTACAGTCTCCCCAGGGTGGGGGAAGGTATATCAGCTGCAACAACCACAAATCGCTTATTACACTGTATACAGACAAGTGATTTAAAATTACTTTCTGGTTTATAACAACTTAGATCTTATTTTCATTGTTTTGGCTAACACTGTATCCACCAAGTTGCCTTCTGAGATCTAATAACAATGCAAGTCCAACAGGACAGTCAGGCGATCATACAGGTTTAGACAAAACTAATTTGGCAGAAAAAACAAAAGCGAACATTAAATATTAGCCAAACTACTGCACAAAATCCTGAGTAGTTACAAAAGAACAAATCAGGAATGGCCACTTCACTTTGTTGTTCCTGAATAACTCAGAATAGATATTGATGGGTTACTAGAGAGCAAACTTATATCAGATACTGATCAGACAATGACTCACTTGCCAGGCCACTGTCAAATCACAGTCAAATCTGAACAAAACACACTCACAGCCCTAATGAAGCACATTAGCTAAACTAACTAAACCAACTGACATATCTCATCATGAGCATTTAAAGATTTAGAGAAAAACCAATATTACAGGGGCTTTAACAGATTCCACATGTATAAAGAATAAAAAGATCAAAGTGCTGCAGTATGTACCCTCTGTTCCTGACAGGAAACAAACGTCTGAAACCCGGGTGCCACTCCGAACCCGAGCTGGTCAATGAAGGATGGCTCGTCCTGACTGTGGATCTGAACTTTGACCCCAGCTTCAAATGATGTCTCATCTGCAGGAAGTCAAAGAACGTGGGATCAGAGCAACACCACGTTAAAGATGTGTTTCACTAATGAAAGACACATTCAAGAGAAGAGGTTTTGACTCTGACTTTCACACACTGAGGTATTAACACCAGCATGTGGTTGTGCTGCCCACACACGCTGTTAAGAGTGTGACAGATAACCACATCTGACAGCTGCTGAATGAACAACATCCCCCTCACCTGTTTCTCCCCAGATAGGCAGGTATTCATCCTGCTGAATGTCCAGCATGACCTCCAGTCCATTACCCATACCTCCCTTTGTGGTGATGAGGGGAGGGCGTCCATCATCACCGGAATTAAACGTGTAACACTTCCCGTAGCGAGTGAAGACCTGAGAGACACATGAGAGAGATTTTTGTTTTAATCACACAGCTCTGCAAACCTGCTAAAGGTTTATTAACAATGCTTTTCCACTGGGGGTCAGTGTTTGACTCAATATCTGATATGTGTGTGTGTGTGTGTGTGTGTGTGTGTGTGTGTGTGTGTGCATGTGTGTGTGTGCCTGTGAACATGTGTACACAGGACAGAGATACTATGAGAGAAAAGGAGCATGTGTGACAGAAAGATAAAAAAAAAAAGGTGAGACAAGAAAGTGTTAGAGAAAAAGAGAGGAGAGGAGAAGGAGGTCTTCCCGTGGGTTTGTGAATTACACAATGAACCCAGTGAGGTGACGGAGACTGGCAGACTGGTGATTTAACATTCCCTCGCATGCTCTTTATGGCAGTTATAATGGACCTGATGTTACCATGGAGACCAAGCAAGGATGTAGCCTTAATTTTTAAAAGCCAAGACACAGACATTAGATTGAAGCTGTGTTATCAGCAAAAGCCCATATGATATGTTTAAACAGCCATGAGTGCACAACAGTAAATAGATGGAAATGTATCAATATGGAGCTTTCTTTGGTGAAGAGTTAATCTTGCATTAGAGCGTTTAGTGTTGTATGAGTCACATAACCCATGCAGGGAGCATGAGTGAGAGAGTGGGAGAGCAGGGAGCAACGGAGAGCAAGGATGCAAAGTGAAAGAGACAGAGAGAGAGAGCGAGAGCGAGAGATAGAGAGAGAGAGCGAGAGAGAGAGTTTAGCTACTAACGCTTGGAGCAGGCTATTGTTCAGCGTTATGGCACAGAATGACATATCTGTGATTAGAAAGAACAAACCAACCAAGTAATTGTTGAGAAAGAGTTTGGGTCCTGCCAAGGGCAGTTTAAACATTTCGGCCATCTATCATGTCAGCAAGAGACTGCTGGGTGCAGAAGCAGACATCGATCTGAGTGGGGAAAAAACATTAAGTTCTATCAAGAAAAGCAAGTAAAATGAATGGCAAGCCACTGACAAACGTGAAGCCAATGTTTCTTTGAGACTAAATGTTTGTTTCACGTGAACAAGACTTAAGACTCTACTGTTACGCCAATAGCTCTGTGAGGCTGTACCCAAGGCACCGTTATACTTAATAAGAACTGCTTGTCAGACAGTTGAATAGCTTTGGAAACCTCCTTCCCCTACACCTCTCAGGTGTCACAATTTGGGGGGTTCCGTGTCCAACTATTTCTGTCAAAACCAATAATCCAACATTCACACCCACTTCACACCGTGATTGGCCAGCTGTGAAGAGGTGAGAAAAGCAGCCAGGGATTGAATTTATCTCTCAAGTTCTTTTTTCATTTGTTTCACAACTATTTCTGTCATTTTGCAATCGAGTGCAACACATTATATGCCTTCTACAAGAGACTCCAAATATGCACTGGAACTATTTAAACAATATTGCGCCTCCACTTTCTCTCACAACTGCCAACATTTCACTTTAGCTTAGAGTATGTTTCTACAGTAGCCCAAACTGCTTTACAGAGCGTATTTTGTCACTATGTTCTTATGCAATGAGAAGACGAAGAAGAAGAAGACGAAGGCGAAGAAGAAGAAGAACAACAAGGAATGTTAGCAGTAGTAGTAGTCGACTGGTTTATCAAAAGTAAGAAAAAAATGAGAAATTAGGACAAATGGAGGCCCACGCATGTCATTTAGTACAATTGCCGACAGAGCTTCTTCTATGCACTTGGAAAAGGAGGGGTGAGTGGTGACAGACGGTGCATTCATGTGGTATCGAAAAACTCCTTAAATCTTTATTGCAAAAAGAGTAATAAAGTGTACATGGGTCATAAAGAAGTATGCAGAACTTTGATTTATGCAAAATCACCTATTGCAAAAGTATTGATCACAGACTCTGTGAACCCTGCTGACTTGTTGAATATCAAAAAGATCTAGCAACTGTCAGAAAGGACCTTCCTCCACAAATGTTTGTAAATGTGGCTGCACTTACTGTACTTCATAAATAACATCATTACATAAACGTTAAATCCATGTGTATGATGGGTGCACGATGTTCACCAGCATCTTGATCGATATACAGAAGTGAGGTGAGGTCAGATAACACTTGTTCTCTGCCTCTTGATGAATAGTTGATATTGTGACAGTGGTGGTAAGGATAAAAACATCAAACATGTATAATGCACAAGGTCTGCACAGCATGCATACAGTGGCTGCTTGCTATGTTGAATGAATAAATTATTGTGCACATATGAAAATTGTTTTCTGAGGCAGAAATCATACGGAGCATACTGTATGGAGAAATTCTGATCTGAACAAATGAACCCCCCCCCCCACAGAGTTTAATACATTACTTACTGACTGAAGTTTACAGAGGCATACATCTTCAGAGCTGTGTGATCAATAAAGCTGTCACTCACACACACTTTCCTATGTATTGAAAAGCACTCAACATAGCTCTGCTGTAATTAATCATTATGCACATAATTATGCATATCTGTTTTTCGGGCCACATCAGATTTGGACAAAAATCTAAAAATTACAAATCTATGCACTTTCCCATCCATTTTACGAGGCCTTCAGTCTTGCAATCTGTGAGCTGCTAAAAGATGTCTCAGCAGGGTAAGTTCAGTCCATTAGTACTCTGTTGTTTTATGGGAATGTTTTTGTGGACTTTAAAGCCATCTCAGTTAAGTGCCAACACTTTCACTGTTATTATGCTGTACACTTAAACAGCTATCACTGGGAATATGCTCTTTAAATGCAACAGCGAGGAGACAGCAGTCCACAGAGACTAGCACTAAAATATATACACATGTTGCATCCTATTGTGCGGCTGGACTGTAATCCAACAGGGATTTCAGTTGACCTGGAAAAACTATGCTGAGTACCTTCATACATGAATAAACTTCATGAAAATAAATAAAGGGATTAATATTAATAAGAGTCTACAACCACGCTAGTGGCTCTGTGAGGCTGTACTTAGACACAGTGGTGCTTTAAGTAAATGCTAATGACAGCATGCTAACATGCTCACAATGACAATGGTAAAATACAGATTATATTTATTCATTTAGCTGACGCTTTTATCCAAAGCAACATATAATAGCTATATATGTCAGAGGTCATACGCCTCTGGAGCAACTAGGTGTTAAGTGTCTTGCCCAGGAACATTGGTGGATTTGTCACAGTGGGGAATTGAACCCACGTCTCTCACACCAAAAGCACGCATCTCATCCACAACTCCATCACCACCCTGGATGTTTAACAGGCAATGTTTACCATGAGGACCATCATAGTTAAGGATGTTAGCATAAGTTTTCATAATGATCACTAACACAAAGTACAGCAGAGGCTGAACAATGTCTAGTTTAGCAAATATTTGGACATAAACTAAAGTAGGCCCTATTGGACAAATTAAAAGTTTGACCTCATGATGGTGTTGGAAAGTTGTTTCAGACACAGTGAAATTAAAAATACATTTCCAAAATGCTGTTACAAATTTATAAGATCAAATGTAATTTTGGGTCACTAGTTCACCCCCCATCATATAAAACTGCACTTGACCATTATGGCAGAGTAATATTGTAGTAGGAGGTGTGTGTTTGGATTTCTGCTAACAAAAGGTTTGTTTATATTTTTAGAGGAGGTGGCTGAAGCTATGGGTTGAAGTCGAATTTATTCACTTAACCCATATCATCCTTCTGATCTAATTTTTTTTTTTATACCTCTGTCCCAAATTTCATGGCAATCCATCCAATAGAGATATTTCACTTAAAACCAAAAATGTCAGCCGCATGATGCTGCTATAATATTAGTCAGATAGCCCACTATTGTGTTTGTTAAAACCAAAGGAAATCAACAAAGCTATATACCAACAAAGCCACCATAGACTGGTGTGTTCTGTGAAAGTGACTGATTACGATTTATACTCCTTGCAATGGGAGATCTTGGAGTATGATCACAAATGCTTGCAGCATGAAGGTAAAACTAATGCCGGAATAAAAGCATCAAAGCCAAAGCATCCCCCTCCTCTGTTTGGTTCAGAATGAATAGCTGACTCACCACGCTAATAACCAGTCTTGTGTAGAACCACTCCAGAGAAAATAAACCGGGTAGGGGTTTGAAAGTCAGGGGCACGGTGGAGTTTGTATGTAATAATGATGCCCTGAACATAGAATCAGACTCTGAGACACTGATTGTCAAAATAAGGAAGTCAAGATGAGAGGCAAACAAGAATAGGTAGAAGCGAACCACAGAGCTCCTCAGGGAGTATGGATAACTAAAAGGCTTCATACAGAAACACTTCATTAGAGAGAGAAGACCAAAGGCCGTCGTGCACTGACAAAACACAGCTGCATCTTTGTGCTTGTAGTTTCAAAACGGTCAGTAAGATAGTGGCATAGCTTTAGGGACAGCCATTGTTGTCAATTTTTACAGACATTTAACTCAAAATCACAAAACATCAACCTCATGGTGGCAAAAAGTCAGATGATCACCAAAGTCATTAGGATCCATCCAGTGGTGACCATGCATGTCGGTACAAAATTTCATGGCATGGCCATCTGAATGACCACAGCGCCTGGCTAACTAGTAACAACTGAAAAGGCTCAGAAATGTAAATATATTATATAATAATATTATATAAATATTGTAACCCTTTACTCCCTAATCTTTAATTCTGGTCTTCATGGGATTGGATGTCACCCAATTTTCCTTTGAATATTTGACCAGTACTCTGCAGAACTGCAAAGAGGCTGAACCATTGTACTTTTCATGAAGGTCAAAGTCAGACTAATGAGTGAGAATCGATCATGCAAATCAAGACCTCATGTCCAGTGCATTGACACTTGATGACACCTTAGGGCAGTGCACTTTGTAGGGCGGGGAATCATCACATAATCAGTGTGGACAGCTAGTCCTCCCGAAGTTATTGACAAAAGAGGAGAAAACAGGGGACAGGAGCCTTTCAAGTGCTTGAGGGAAATAAGTGTATATGTGAAATC